ATTTTACAACATAAACAGCCGCCGAGCTGTTTATGTATTATAGCTGGGCGCGCACGTAGCCCTATATATACACTATATATATATATATATATATTATAATATACACTATCCTGAACCTTGCATGTGCTTGCCAGAGGTATTCGCGATTACCACTACTCATGTGTGTTTTCTGTACTCGCTCAGATGAAAGTGCATATATATGAATTGAGCGTGTTCTCTTCACATCGCAGTGCCGCACAGCTGAAGGTTTTTTTTATTGGGATAAACCGACTTCGGGCAGATTACACTTTTGTTTTCAATTTCTGTTTCATTTTCTTTTTAGGATATGTTCACCAAATTGATGCTCTCTGCGTGGCTAGGGCTAGTCTGCAACTGGGTGCAGGCAGAACAGTGCCAAATCAAGCTATTAACCATTCTGTTGGAGTCCATTTGGAAACCAAATACGGAGAAAAAATCAATACAGGTAATAACTTACTACACGTACGTTGGGTTCAGAGTTAACACAACGATACGCACATAAGTGTTCGGTTATAGTCAATATGTTTATAATGCAAGAACTCTCTGCATTCTATACACCAATAAACAGAGCTGAAATGCTGTTGTTGTGTCCATTGTTCAAGATATTTTTTCCTGTCCCAATGGTACGTAGATTTCGTATACTATACGAAACTTCGTATACTATACTCGTATGCTATACTAGTGTGTATCTAATAACAAATTGCATTGCAGGAGATGCTTGGGCGACAGTCTATCACGAAGACGAGCAGTTGCCGCAGCAAGTGCGCCATCTACTGGAGAACGCGCTCTTGGTGGCGGAGGATGCCCCATTAGTATGCCCTCTGGTGAAAGCCGTCATCGAATGAGGGGAAATGGCGCGGCGCGACTGTTTAGCTGCCATGTGTATGACCAGCCAGCCATGCTCATAGGGTCTATGTCCCCCAGGGTACTGGCGGAACGCACCCTGGTAACTATTTGATATGGTTAGGGTTAGGGTTAGGGCTAGGGTTAGGGAGTGGGCGTAGGCGACTCCCTAGACTCGTTAGTAGAGTAGGCGAGGTAGGCCTACAGTCCGGCATATTATATAGTACCAGGGTACGTTCCGGTATACCGGACCGTACCCAGGGTACTTTCCGGCAGTACCCTTGGGGACATAGACCCTCTCAGCGCCAGCCATTCAATAATTCGCGGTTTAATCAATTTATGAATCTGTACGTGCACGTGCATATAATTGCGCGCTATCACTAGGGCCTAGTCAGGGCCACAGCCCTATATGCAAATTGGTAGGCTCGGGTTTTAACCGGAAAGCGCCCATTAGCTTTGATACATGGCTACATGCCTAGGCTAGATGGACGTTTTAAATAACTGAGGGCATGAAGCGAAAGGTATAGCATATATGGCGAGAGTCAACTAATGTACGTATGGGTAAAACCAGATTATCCATTCGGACAAAGTATATGCACTTTGTTTAAGACTAGGTTGGTTACTCGTGTGGGCCCGTCGAAGAAGTCGAAAAGGAATACTGGGGAAAAGACGCAACGCACACATACGCACACGCTCACTCACGCGCACGCATTCGCGCCCCCCCCCCCACGCACACACGCACGCACAAAGAGAGAGAGACATGCGAACACGCACACACGCACTCACACACACACACACGCACGCACGCACGCACGCACGCACGCACACACACACACACAATGTAACGAAATCAAGTCATGCGACACTTGGCGCGCCGGCGCGCCAAGTGTAGCATGATTTCGTAACGAAATCACTCGCAGTAGCTGATTTCGTAACGAAATCACTCGCAGTAGCTGATTTCGTAACGAAATCACTCGCAGTAGCTGATTTCGTAACGAAATCACTCGCAGTAGTTGATTTCGTAACGAAATCACTTTGTAGACTTGATTTCGTTACGAAATCAATGATTTTGTAACGAAATCACTCGCAGTAGCTGATTTCGTAACGAAATCACTCGCAGTAGTTGATTTCGTAACGAAATCACTTTGTAGACTTGATTTGATTTCGTAACGAAATCAGCCATGCGTCACTTGGCGCCCCATAGTTTTACCCTTGATTCTGTAGGTAGAGGCCAGCAATAGCATGGGCGTAAAGACGGTCGCTCTGCTAACCAACATGAACAATCCAATAGGCTTTGCTGTCGGCAACCATCTTGAAGTGATTGAAGCTATTCGTTGCCTGCACGGAAACGGACCAGCGGACCTGCAGTATCTTGTCGGGCAGCTAGGTAAAGCAAGAAAACGAGGGGTTTATGCCGATTACGTACTTTTTTACAATACAAACGAATACTTACTTGTTCAATTTATGGATTCGGTGACAGACTCGTATGTTTTTTTTATTAAACTCGGACTGAAACCTATATAAACAGGTGGCCGCCTCCTTTACAAAGCCGGTAAAGTAACATCGTCGACAGAAGGAGTTAACCTGATACTTGAAAAGTTGCAGGACAAATCGGCTCTTCATACATTTCGCAGAATGTGTGTTGCTCAGGGGGTAAGCAGCAATATGTTGTATGACTGTAATGAATGAATGTATGTGATGTGTTTGTGGAGTTGACCATATATGCAGACTGCGGTGAGGTCATCATCACCAATGTCGACTTTGAATACCAGACAGTAACATCTAGTATATTTCTGCTAAATATGGCCCAATATTTTTATTATTTAATCGGTGCCCGAGTGTCTTATAGTCTCAGCTATACCTCTCGTTGCCATTTCATCGACTAGCACGGAATACGGCTAATGGATATATATCACTGTTATTATAATATCTTGTAGCGAGCTCTATAATAAGTTACGATTTTACTTGTGTAGGCTGCAGAAGAAACGATGAAAGAGTTGTGCAGCGAGAATGCCGACTTCACCAAATTATTCAGACAATCAAAATTTACGACGCAGCTTCGGAGTCCGGTGACCGGTAAGCTTCATTTTTTTCTTAGAGTTATGTTTATTCCAGTACAGACGATGTTTTGTTGACCAACCACGCGGTAGGCCTACCGTTCTGAATTTCAATCACTGACTTTTATAGCTTAATTACCTCTTGGATGAAGGCGCGCCGGTTAAAAGCTTTCGATCTATTCTCCAATATTCCCACCTAACGCTATATGGTGACCGCATACATCGGACATGACACTTCATCTGACTCAAATCTACCTTATCGCTATTTCGTGCAGGTTACAAATGCCCTGGAGCTAACTAACTTGGTTAATTTTTACTCAACCGTGACGTTCAAACGTACATTTGAACCTCACGGTTGAGTAGAAATCCGGGGGGGGGGGCACTCCCATTGTTAAAGGTACTCGGGACGTGCCGCTGAACAGGGTATATTTTCCGAACATCATTATTGGCACATGCAGGGTTATCTAGATACCCAGCAAGCAAGCTGATATTGGCCCAATATTGGCAAAACAACATTGGGCCAATATCACCAGGCCAATATTGGCCCAATATAGGCAGATATTGGTCCAATATTGGCAAAACAATATTGGGCCAATATCACCAGGCCGATATTGAACCAATATAGGCAAGCCAATATAGGCAAGCAAAATGTGCAATATTGCAACAGTGTATAATTTTTAGCTCATCTGACATAGTCAGATGCAGCTTGTAGAATCGCATATGAGTCGGGCGTCCGTCCGGCCGTGCGTCCGTCCGGCCGTGCGTCCGTCCGGCCGTGCGTCCGTCAACAGTTGGGCACAAATCTAAACGGCTCGACGTACGGTCACGATATTCGGGACGTGGGGGGGTAATCCGAAAACGAGTTGGGATGTCGAAGCTTCTGAATATCTATTATTCTCCTCCTGATATAGCGAAGTCATACACAGTTGCACTGCTGTATCTTTTTACTTACTACCGGTATAGCAAAGCCTAGCTATCATAGATTTTAGATCTGTTTTAGTAGTTCGTAGATATATGCTCTGTGCGCGAACGCGGTGATGGGAAGGTGCTCTTCATTCGTTTGCAAGTGAGTTTAGCATCAGAACACCGCGTCAGTTTGAGCGCTGTTGCTCTGCGGCACTTGTTAGGCAGTATATTGGGACATTTAGTGTATTTTAGGGCGCAAAGCGGTTTTCAACAGGGTCAGATGTTCAAGGTACCCGAGGCACTCTCTATCCAGTGCCGAGACGATTGCCCCCCCCGGGGTAGAAATCAACTAAGTTATATCTATTATCAACCAACCGAATGAACTTATTCAAGGATTTACAAATGGCCTGCTTGAAGTAGCGACCCGAGATAGCATGTGGCCGCTAGCAGTTAGCCAAACCGAATATTATTATAATATTCCTAATTATTATAATTATTGTTTTAATTATATTATATTTATTAATTAATATAAACAATAATATAATAATATAAAAAATTTATTATTATTATTCATTATTATGCTTTTTATTATGCTTTTTATTATGCTTTATCATTAATATTCTTATAATATTTTTATGATATTTTACAACATAAACAGCCGCCGAGCTGTTTATGTATTATAGCTGGGCGCGCACGTAGCCCTATATATATACACTATATATATATTATATATATATTATAATATTACACTATCCTTGAACCTTTCATGTGCTTAGAGGTATTCGCGATTACCACTATCATGTGGTGTTTTGTGTACTCGCTCAGATGAAAGTGCATTATATGGAATTGAGCGTTTCTCCTTCACATCGCAGTGCCGCACAGCTTAAGGTTTTTTTTATGCGGATAACCGACTTCGGGCAGATTACACTTTTGTTTTCAATTCTGTTTCATTTTTTTTAGGATATGTTCACCAAATTGATGCTCTCTGGCGTGGCTAGGGCTAGTCTGCAACTGGGTGCGGACAGAACAGTGCCAAATCAAGCTATAACCATTCTGTTGGAGTCCATTTAAAACCAAATACGGAGAAAAAATCATACAGGTAATAAACTTACTACACGTACGTTGGGTTCAGAGTTAACACAACGATACGCACATAAGTGTTCGGTTATAGTCATATGTTTATAATGCGAAGAACTCTCTGCATTCTATACACCAATAACAGAGCTGAAATGCTTGTTTTGGGTCCAGTGTTAAAGATATTTTTCCTGTCCAATGGTACGTCGATTTCGTATACTATACGAACTTTCGGTATTACTATACTCGTATGCTATCTAGTTGTATCTAATAACAAATTGCAGGCAGGAGATGCTTTGGGCGACAGTCTACACGAAAGACGAGCAGTTGCCGCAGCAAGTGCGCCATCTACTGAGAACGCGCTCTGGTGGCGGAGATGCCCATTAGTATCGCCTCTGGTGAAAGCCGTCATCGAATGAGGGGAAATGGCGCGGCGCGACTGTTTAGCTGCACGTGTATGACCAGAGCATGCCTCATAGGTCTATGTCCCCCAGGGTACTGGCGGAACGCACCCTGGTAACTATTTGATATGGTTAGCGTTAGGGTTAGAGCTAGGGTTAGGAGGGGCGTAGGCGAACTCCCTAGACTCGTTAGTAGAGTAGGGCGGGAGGTAGCCTACATCCGGCCATATTATATAGTACCAGGGGTACGTTCGCGTATACCGGACCGTACCCAGGGTACTTCCGGCAGTACCCTTGGGGACATAGACCCTCTCAGCGCCAGCCATTCAATAATTCGCGGTTTAATCAATTTATGAATCTGTACGTGCACGTGCATATAATTGCGCGCTATCACTAGGGCCTAGTCCAGGGCCACAGCCCTATATGCAACATTGGTAGGCTCGGGTTTTAACCGGAAACGGCCCATTAGCTTTGATACATGGCTACATGCCTAGGCCTAGATGGACGTTAAATAACTGAGGCATGAAGCGAAAGGTATAGCATATATGCGGAGAGTCAACTAATGTACGTATGGGTAAACCAGAATATCCATTCGGACAAAGTATATGCACTTTGTTAAGACTAGGTTGGTTACTCGTGTGGGCCGTCGAAGAAGTCGAAAAGGAATACTGTGGGAAAAAGACGCAACGCACACATACGCACACGCTCACTTACGCGCACGCATTCGCGCCCCCCCCACGCACACACGCACGCACAAAGAGAGAGAGACATGCGAAACACGCACACACGCACTCACACACGCACGCACGCACGCACGCACCACGCACACACACACACACACACACACACACAGACACTGGCGCACACGCACACTCACACACGCACATATATCATTAGCAGTAGCAACAGCTTATAGCTGTGTAAACAAATATTATAGTTATGTTCTTATGCCGTAAAACACACGCACAACGTGATCAACCTCATTTATAAACATGATCAACACAATATTGTGATATATATTGTTCGCCAGTCTTGAAATGGAAGCACCCAGCATGGTAGGTTT